GGACGTCCCCCGCAGTTCTCAATCTTTATACTTTGGCTTGAGCCCTCAGTTTACGAAGCTTCAAAACTAACTATAAATCTGATACAAAATCAAAGTGGTAGCTGCCGATGAGATTATGTGGATTGCGCCATGCATCCGGTCTTATATTCACCTGACATGGAATCTTCAGACCACGCCTTGTTTCCATCATTTCAAACGCCAAATTATAAATCCTCGGCGCGCGAGTCGCCATCCGTGCAAAATACCTTTACCTATGTATACGGAGTTTCATCTGATCAACCAAGTTACGGATACAAGGGATGGGACCTTGGTGTGATCAGCTATTTCCTAGTTGCGCCCAATGCAATCACCATTCCCAATCCAAAATTCGCAATCATATGGCATAACGAATTTGGTCCTAGTCGCAATGAGACTATCGGCCCGACCGAATGCTAATCAACTATTTCCTTAATCTCTCCCGCCATGCAGGCCTGTTACCCAATCAAGTCAACATTTCGGAGCGGATAAATCTTACGTCTTGGCCTGGCTTCAAATTTAAACATGATTTGATCTCCCCGAAAACTGAAAACCTGAAGTAAACGACGCGCCATTTCTTCGACACCCCCTCCTCCCCTCCGTACTGCTGTCAAGATTTTGGGCGCTATCGCAAAATGGGAGCATTTTTATTTGTTTATTTATTTGACAGCATTGTGGTGGCAAGCATTTAAAATCGCGGGGTCCCCCAGAAAAAAACAAAATTGCGTTTATCCCCCCCTTTTTTAAATACTGTCTCAAGCTTGAGCGGAAGAAACAGAGGCTCCAAAGATTCGTGAGCGCCATGTTCACATCTCGCCCCGCATCTTGCTGACCCCCTGCCTAGGGTTAGTCTTAAGCAGCCCCTATTTGCGCCTAGGTCCCCATTTTTTGTCGATTCCAATGTCACAAGGATTTACGAATACGCTACGCCTCAAATGGCCTGTAACCGAGCAATCACTGAACGACGGTAATGTTGCTCAGTGCGCAGGCTTCCAACGCAACCCATCTTCAAGCTGGTGTTGATTTTTTTGCGAATGCTGCGCAAAGCATGCCGATATTCAAGACACGAGAAAAATGAAATTGAAAACAGGAAAGGACCAATTATGATATAGTGAAGGCTCAAGTCTTTCGCTGATTCTACTCTGAAGAATCGTTCCACGCATTTATAGTAAGTGGGCCCATGATGGAGTACGGAGGTACGCTGAATGAAAAGCAGCCACAGAGACCTCACCCGACAGCAGTCTGTACACTTCATTTGAACGTTTTTCTTAGCCTAAATTGGATGTTGTTCAATCCCCTCCGAACTCTCCATTGACTGGTGCAGTAAGCATTCGAGCCGCCTAAACATAAATATTTTGTCCTAGTCTCGCAATATAAGGAGGACCCCCTAGGACTAACGTAAGGCTTAGAGGGGGCAGAGACTTTAGAGAAAATGGAAACTGCTCAAAAATTACGCACCCTAGATTCTGTCCCCTTCGCCTAGCGCTGGGTCTTGTTTTCCAAAAAAAAATTCCTTACGTGGGTTCAAATGCATTGCCACTATAATGCCCCCGTATCTTGCGATAGCGTCTATTTTTTTCTAGAAACAATGCACGGCGCATCCCATGAGGGGATTAATCGAGCTAGGCCAACTTATCTTTGGTGCTGAAAAATGGGAGAAGAAAACGCGATTTTGGTTTGGCCAGTTACCGTATTCCATCCTTCAGTCGATGTGGCATCACTCCTGGTTGACACGGAGATTGCGTGGTCGTTTCAAGTGCATTCTACTGCTGCTATGGATGTCTCGGAAAATGCTTCGTCTTGCTAATTCATTTAAGACACATTGTTTTTGTGTAACGCAGCGGGCCTTCGGCTCGCATTCTGCTTATTGATCGGACAGAACCAAAAACGTGGCTAGGGAAAGCGTCCAACTCCGCAGGCCGGATACCCTCAGGGCGATTGAAGACGTGTGAAGTGGTGGTGGGAGCGGAAAGCTACAGGTATTGACTGCCGATTCGGTGTGAAGGAATGTCGAATTTTGGCCTTGAAAGGGTCTCGCGGGGGCCTCTTGCCTTCTGCGATGATCGCTCGACCAGCTCATTTCACTGCCAAACTTCAACGCTGAAAAAGTCAGCCAAAAACATCGTCAATTTCCTGCGTCTCTGCTGAACCTTACAGCTGCCTTAAAAGGCTGGCTCGATCTGGTGGTGACCAGTGTTGAGGCGAATTTTCCCAATGACAAAGCGTCCGTTCATTCCAATATTTTGCAAGAGTCAATTCTCTAACTATCCACTCTTCTACAAAGCATCTTTCTTGTCTGAAACCAAATCGTCAGTTCTATTCCAATCTTACCAAGGTTCCATCAGGCATTGACCACTGATGTTTGGCTCCATCAAATCCCTTTTCTTATTTTCTCGAGCTGCAGCGTAAGGAACCTAATCCCTCCCCCGAATATCATTCACTGCTATTTTTGGAAGGAATTTGCCGAGCAGTGCAAATTTTTAAGCACGTAGCGCTCCATCGTGCCTCCTCTTGAGGAGCCTTCAAAATTGTTTGAACTATTACAGAACAAAGCCCAACGGCTGGATTTCTTAATCTCTGCTCAGTTCCGTTTGCATTTATGTCCACTTCTCAACGAAGTGAGCAGCTTTACCCGACCTATCCTCTCGGGAAACCTTCGCGTCGGTTCCGAGCCTGCTGCTTTTTTTCCAATGAGTATGTCGAGCGCTAGCGGCCAGCACGCTAGGCTCATATGCTAAACATAGTCCCATAATAGCAAACCTCCCACCGCAAAAAAGTACCTCGCCAAGAACGGCCAGTTTTCAATTGGTTAGTATAAGGCTGGGAAATGTAATGCATGTGATGTGAACATAAATTTACCTGAAGGCAAATTTTGATAGGAAGGCAGTGCATTAGAAATAAAATTAGGGGTGGTCAGTGGTACGGGGATGAAGAGAAAACCATGAAACGGCCCAGAACCACATGAGAACCACCCATTTTTGCCCCTTGGTTTCCGAATTGATGGACTCTCATCGGTGCTGCCCTCTTCAACGCTCACGCTCTTACTGCTGAACGGCTAGAGGGTCGGACAGCGACAGAGGGACGTAGCGCTCTGATAGCCCGGGGAAGGCCACTGCTAGATCGCCGATGGCATATCCTTTCGATGCAACTGCGTCGGTCCGCACCAGGGTCAAACCGTTACGTTGACCATATGAGCGACGTTGGACCGATCGTTCACCCGCTCTTCCGCGTCGCGTCGTGTCTCCGTGTACGTTCACTCCGGCATTACTCTCATTCGTCGCGCATGCGACTTTGTCCCAACGGAACGCTTGAACCCTGTCCGCACCCTTAGCGGGTCTGCTTGGCTCCAACTAGGTAACTTCCCTTTTTTCGACCTTCTACCTTGTCGTTTAATCCTTCTTTTGATCCTACGGAATCGGAAGAACACTGTCTAGCCAATCAAATACATCTGCAAAAAAAGACAACCTAATGGGTTACGCAATTAGAAGCTTCATCGTTCGCCGTGCTCATCATAAATTTTCTTTAGAATCCTCACAATATCATATGGGTGTGAGTCGGGTGTGTTTTGCGAAGATGGCGCAGCAGTTCATCGCGCGTGTGTACGGCATCGATCCGTAGTGCACATGTCGCGCGCAGCCGCGTTGCCGCAATACATACTTGCTGACCCACCTTCATGTCAGATTACATATCACTAAAGCACACCAACCTTATGAGCGTCATAGTTGCGATCATTACGTGCGATAGGCGAGTAGTCGATCAACCGCAGTAGGCAATAAGGGGACGCTTGATTGTTGCCTCCGCCGATGGGCGATCGCCTAATCGCCTAGTCTATACGTATGTTTTCCACTACAGACGGATCGCCTAATCACCGAATCGCACGTACGATCGCCAACTATGAACGCTTCATAGGTTATGTTACTTCAAAGCCGTCCAGCAATGGATTCATATTTTATGACTTACAAATGTCTAAAAACAAACAAAGCCCCCTTCTTATGTAGCCTTGCTGCATTTTGCTAATACTACATCTTATTTTCAGTAAAACTCAGGCGGCAAAAATCCATTGCAATCCAGAACAATTTCAGCCCGTCCAACGGTATCAACAGCAGCAACCAATTTTTCGTCTTAAGAACACTTGCGTAGGCCGTGAAATTGAAATCTTCTAAGCCTTTTGCTTCAAAGATTGCCTAATGAAAAATCTTTATTACTCGTAGTCGCGAGTAATAGGACAAGTAAGTATGGGAAATAAGCATTGTAACCTGTTCGGTTACCGTTTGCGGCGCTATCGCAAATTTACAGCAGCATCCTCTAGGACTAAGCCTGGAGGGAAGGATTGAGACTGAAAATGCTACGCACTCAGAGTTTTCTCCCCCTCCTGAGGTCCTTTTTACCGAAATGGACGTTTAAAACGCAATTCTCAGATACATTGCCACAACGACCCCGTATCTTGCGATAGCGCCCTCTTTGCTGAGTTGAGGAAACTCCTCCACAAGGACGACTTTCGACACCTTACTCGGCAGTTGACACATTTTACTAGTGATTCTGTGAATAATTCGAATCTAGGTCGAAGATGAGAACTAGTAATTCTTAGCGATATAGCTCGAAGTAACAGAAATAGTAAAGCTGGACTACAGAGGATTCTGCCGAGGAAAACATAACCTAGAGCTAAGAAAACAATATGAACTTCAAGCCTTGAGAAATATTGTGTTGTCTCCGCACTTTCAGGCATGTCTATCCTAGCCTAAGGTCATCAAGAGCCACAATACTCGCTGTAATTAATTCATGCCCTAGCTTGCCTGGTTTACTGCTTGACACATGTAGCTACACCTACGAAGCTGCTCGATTACGAAAAGCTGTTGCTCTGAAAATTTCGCCTCGCCATTTATCCTTGTTTGGGTCCGACTCTGAGGCAATTAGTCTTTTGCTCTTCAGACGCAAACAACTGGCCGAGGAACGTGAAAAGGAAGAGCAGCGATACAAACTTCGCCATGGCCACCGAGGCTCAACAGGCAGAGGCGCTACGAATCGAAGAAGAGCGAAGGTTTGCTTGAAATTTTCACAACCTCTACCCTATTGTGCTGTTCAGAATATCATCATCTTTTCTATATGAGTCATTTATGTCTTTTTGCAGAATGGCCGCAGCAGAGCGCGAACGTCTTGACGCGACAATCGCCGCGCGACTGTCTCGCGATGGAGGCGGAGCGATGATGGACACGCCCACGACGAGCATGTGAGCCATTTGCGCCTGTTGTGTACTCATTGTTTGATAATTGAGCGCTGAAAAAAGGGGCCGACCGTGTCAGCAGCAGTGTTCTTCAGCTGTTGCTTTAGGTCATCCGGCTCTTCTATTGATTCGACAGGATCCAAGCCGAAAGGAAAATACGACTTATCAACATGGAGATACGCGGAACTGAGAGATACCATCAATACCAGTACAGGTAGGCAGAATATCCTTGAAGTTAAGCTTTCATATCATCACAGCGCCTGTTAAGTTAGCTCACTTGAAGGAAAGGGGGGGGGCGTTGAAAACCTTTGGCGTAATTGGCTAATTGAGAATAGTTATCTCATAAAGTGGAATTAGTGCTATCAGTGCTCTACCCATAAAAATGCTAGATGTTCATGTTCTAACGCAAAATTAATCCCTTGGGTTTATACCACTGAAATGAAGAGCTGTTCAACTGTAATCATTGCCTTTCTAGTTTTCTTGCTACACACGAAGTTAAAAGGGATGACCTGAACTGTCCATACCATCATATGGCAATTGGGCTCTCATGTCGAGGGAGAGGGGGGGGGGACGGGTGGGGACATTCAAGTGAGTGGCCCAATTTCTGCACTCGGGATTGAGCCTCAGGGATGGGAAGGGACTCGGGGGATGATGTGAACAGAATGCAATCTCCCTAGTTTTCTCCTCTTTCTTGGGATTAGTCATAGTGTCACTAATGTCGGCCCCTGTTTGGAATGCCTCCCCCCAAGGACATGAGCGCCAGAAATTGGAGTTGGGAAGATTAGGGAGGGAGATAATTCCGTTACACGCCTAGTATAAACTCTCCCTCTATCAGGAGCTCTACGATGGTGGTTACACTTTGGGCTTCATCTCAATTACGAATGGTAAGCAACCGATAGTGAACTTTCCACACTTGTCCCAAATAATAGTCCCAGAAAGGTTTTAGGATGGTGATAAGATCGGCTGTTGCTCACTGATGTCATTTTTGGTGTTCCCTTCAAATTATCGTCATTCATTCTGAATATCCTCGAATACACGTCTTTCAACTCCTGTCCCGAATAATAGTCCCATAAGAGCTTCGATTGGTAGCATCCGCAGGTGTAGATGCCACCGGTTTCCTTCGTTCTCCACTGGTTCCACAATTCCCCTACTTGGATGGCTTTTCCATCCTGTGCGCACCTTTCGGCCCTGTCACATTTTTTTCATGAGACTTGTGGAATCCATTTTCCCGAGAGGTCAACACATTTCGTCCAATCCCCGAAAGGTTTTC